TCTCTCTCTCTCTCTCTCTCTCTCTCTCTCTCTCTCTCTTTTCTTCTCACCTTTTCGCCTGGTCGTCATCCCGGTAAATTTTACTCTAATTTCGCCTAAATTGTTTTCTTCATGATTTCGATTTACTAAATTCTATTTGTGTATTTTTGTGGCTTAATTTCTCAAATTTTATGATTCATATAAGTAATTTTTTTTAATTGGCAAAATTTGTCGCAGGCCGATGATTTGAAAATTTTGGAGTGGTTGCCTCAATTCGTCGACGACGACTCCACGGCGGGTCTCTCCCTGTTATGCCCGGTCAAAATTTTACTGCCCAAAAGAGCCGAACACGTGAATCATCTGGTCCATAAGATTAGCGTCCCGTTTTTTCCCTCTTGAGAAAACCAAGAATCTAGCTCCAGATGAGGCGCGTGCGCAGCGACCGTATTGGGTGTGGGGGTTTGATTAATTGAGGTTCTGGAGGCGGACCGACTCAGCTGAGTAGGAAAACCGCTGATCAACCGCATAAGGCAGGCGCCAGCAGATGTTTAATGTTGGTGATTGACAACCTAAAATTGACAAGTTGAGACAGTTTAAGTGGTGTTCGATTAGATTGATAATTATTTTTATGTTTATTTGACAATTTCGTAATATATATATATATATGGTAATTGAGAGTTGTTTTTATGTTTCTTTATAATTTTTAAGTTGTTGTTTTATTGTTACTTTATTGATTTTTTTGCCCGTGTTAATGAATCAAAATGAGATTACTGTTAATGATTTCTGCAAATCAAAAAAAAAAACTTTGCTATTTATTTAATAACTAATTTGCGTATTGACTAATTTGGAACATAAATGAGTTGTTGTTTTGTTTTTATTAATTTTTAATAAAGAAAAATTTTACAATTTACAATTATAGTTGGCACCCTTTAATGTTTTCTAATCTTATGTATATTAGATTCCAATTTTCATAATTTTTTGGATGGCTTTCATTGTTGCTGGGAGCATGTTTCTTTCTTGATTCATTTTAAATTGTTTTTTTTATTTTTTTTCCTTAGGTATTTATGTTTGGAGGAGAAGAATAAGAAGAAATATTTGGAAAAGAGAAAAAGAAGAAACAGGAAGAGATAAAATGATGTGGGGAAAAGAGATTGGAAAGAGAGAAGAGAAATCAAGAGAATGAAAAAAAAAAGAGACGGGAGAGAGAAAGTATATTTTATTCTGCCGATGCGAGATGCTTTTATTTTTTTTTTCTTCGATTTTGTATCTGAACAATTTTGGGAAAGTATCTTTTTCATATTATTGATGCTTTTTTTTTGGGTTCAATGGTCTTTTCTTTTTTTCAATCGGTAGTTTTGTTTGTAATTTATTAACTGTCATACAGTTTCTTCTTTTTTTCAAATTCAAATTATATCTTTTCAATTTTCGTTCAAAACGTTTCAGTTTTTTTTTTTATTTAATTATTTTATTTTACTTTTATTTTCCCCGTGAGTGGGATGTTCATGTCTACTTTTTGGAGTAATTTGAGAAGTGTGTATAGGCAAAAGTAGCTTTGCAAAATCTGTTTAATTAATGGGTAGTTATAAATTTTTCCCGTTATTGCCATGTCAGGCCCAGTACATAGTGGGTCTAACTTTCTTCAAACCAATCTCTATTGAGAAAATTACCTCAAAAAAAAAAAAAAAATTAATTTTTTTTTATTTACACATCAATTTACAATTAATTGCCATCGATTTACAGTTAATTGCAATACTAGGCAGGCGGGATATCCTGTCTTATGATGGAAAGCAAAAATGCACTGAAGGGATAAATTTTATTGACTCCTTACCAATTGCATGACATTTATTTATTTCAAAATTGAAAGGTATAGATTTTTAATTGCATATATCCTAATATCTAGGTTGTTGTTTCAAAATTGAAAGATATAGATTTTGAATTTCAAACTTAATCATCTTCTAACATACAATATCATTCTATTTTGATGATCTAAGGCCGTAAAATATACGAAATAAACCTAGTATTTTTTTTTTTGAAACTCTATTTTTTGTTTACTTTTTGTGTTATTTACATCTCGTATTATTTGGGTATATTTACACTTTTACAGTATATTTTCTAGTTTATGTATGTATATATATATATATTTTTTTTAAATGTGTGAGTCAAAATAAACCATTTCGATGAACTAAGGCTGGAAACCATATACAAATATAAACATCACATATATAGTCTTGAAAACACCAAAGAGTTACAACTCGATATACTATGGGAGCGTTTACTTCGCGGGTTTGGGACATGATAAGAAAATTAGTCCTGGCTATCCGACATTTACTTCGCGGGTTTGGGACAGGATTTTAATGACATGGCACATAGGTGGCAGCCTTCCATCCGTCACTTTCTGATTAAAAAATCCCGGCATGGACCTCTGATAAT